AGACCATTGCTGTTTAAAGTCGTCGTTTATAAAATTTTAATTTTTTTTAATAATTTTTACTTTTTTTATTTTACTTATAAAAAAATCTTATACAATTAAATATTATAAATTAAAATTTATACAATTTTTAATGATACTTTAATTAAAATCATTAGCAACTTTATTTAAAAGCGTTTTGCTAACATAAAAACGTTAGTATGGATAAACGTGTCGAAGTTATTTATTTTCAACGTATTTAAAAACCAGTATTTTGAACGTATTTGGTAAAAACTGTGGTTCATTTGTCAAAACAAAATATTAACATCTAATAGACAAAAATAACAATAAGAAGCTAACTTCCAATAACTTAAAAATTGCTTATGTGTTTAATGATTACGTTGAAAATATTTTTATGATAAATTTATTATGAAAGATTATTTATCAGTTATGTTAATGATTCAATAAGTGTTGACACTTTTGGAGTCAGTTAATAAAACCTTAATGGAAATTAAACCTAAAACCTTGTACGGTATACCTAACGCAGTTCTTATAAAGCTTATATTTTATGTTTTTCTCCTTCCAATATTTTTGAGGCTAGTTTTACATTATACACTTTATATAATCAATGGCTCCAAGCAGTTGTCTCTCCAAATTTTTCAAAAAAAAAATGCATCGGATCCTAACAACAAGACCTATCTCTTTAAATTGTACTTACTTTTAAATCATGGAAAAAATTATTTACTTGCATATTGTTGAGTATCTAAATTATTAAAACAGAATATCTCCTAGTCAGCATGGTTTCCTCAATAAATGTTCTACTTGCACAAATTTTTTAGAATCTACAGACCATTGGAGTATCGCACTTGACAATTATTCGATTACAGATGTTATAAATACTGATTTCCAAAAGGTTTTATTCCATACCTCATTCAAAACTGTTATTTAAACTTTCATTAAACAATAAAAGTAAACATAGGAACCTTTTGATTTGCATTTCTCACCAACAGATCTCAACAAGTTAAGATTGATAGTTCTTCATCAGATCCAATTTGAATCATTAGCGTTGTACCTCAAGGTAGTGTGCTGGGACCAACTTTGTTTTTATTATTTATTAATGACTTATAATCTGTAGTAAACAAACTCGAATGTACAATAAAACTTTATGCTGATGACTTAAAGTTATACAGCGATTTAACAGCTGCTCTTCAAATAATGATTCTTTGGTCAAAAACTTGGCAATTGTTAATTGCTGAACACTGGAAATACGAAATGGGCAATAGCCAATTGCCAATTGCAGTGTTTTGTGCATATGTTAGCACTTACTTGTATGGATCCTAGTCAGTGCTCACTTGTATGGATCCTAGTCAGTGCTCAATTTCTCCACATTCACCCTTAGGTACTTCTGATCACGGTTTGATCTCTCTAAAACTATTATCAAATTCTTCTACTTCATCAGAATCCCCCTATCATCGTACCACATACAACTACCTTAAAGCTGACTGGGACTCTTTCCGTGATTTTCTTCGTGATGGCCCTTGGGTAGAAATCTTTCGTCTTCCTGCTGACAAATGTGCTTCTTATATAACTTCGTGGATTCAGGCTGGCATGGAATCTTTTATTCCCTCTCGACGATTCCAGGTCAAGCCTCACTCTTCTCCTTGGTTTTCCTCACATTGCGCTGCAGCAATTTCTAATCGAAACCGTTACTTCCATATCTATCAGCAAAACAATTCTCCAGAAAACAGACATCTGTTCACTATCGCTAGAAACCATTGTAAAAAGGTTTTGTCTGACGCCAAAGCTTGCTATTCCCAGGTCATTAAATCTCGTATCTCATCACAAAAATTAGGCTCTCGAGACTTCTGGAGAATCTTTAACAGTATCAATAATAAGGGCAAATCTGTTATTCCTTCTCTCTTGTATGGTTCAGACTTTGTCACCTCACCTAAAGACAAAGCTGAATTGTTTGCTAAGAACTTTTCATCAATATCATCTCTTGATTCCACTAGTTGCGTTTTACCTGACATAGCCGTCAAACAGGTTGATCCCTTGCTTGACATTCGCATCACTTCAGCTTCTGTATCTAAAGTAATTTCCTGCTTAGACTCTTCAACAGCTTGTGGTCCTGACAACATTCCTGTTGTAGTCTTGCAAAGGTGTTCTCCGGAGCTTTCATCCATACTTTCTAAACTATTTAACAAGTGCTTATCAGAGTCTTGTTTTCCATCATGCTGGAAAGCAGCATCTGTTATCCCTATTTTCAAAAATTCCGGAGAGCGATCTGATTCATCTAACTACCGTCCCATTAGTCTTCTTCCTGTCATAAGCAAGGTTTTTGAATCTTTAATCAACAAACACTTAATCTCTCATCTTGAATTAAATAACTTACTTTCTGATCATCAATATGGATTTCGGTCTTCTCGTTCTACAGCTGATGTACTAACAGTAATAACCGATAGGTTTTACCGTGCATTAGATAGAGGTGGAGAGGTTAAGGCTATCGCACTTGACATTTCTAAAGCTTTTGATAAAGTTTGGCATGCTGGTCTTCTCCATAAGCTTTCTTCTTATGGTGTAGCTGGTAACATCTTTAAGATTATTGAGTCCTTTCTTTCCAATCGTAGTATAAAAGTTGTCCTCGATGGACAACACTCTTCTTCACATCCTGTAACTTCAGGGGTTCCTCAAGGTTCAATCCTTGGCCCTATACTCTTTTTAATTTACATTAACGATCTTCCAGATATTCTCACATCTAAGGTGGCATTATTCGCTGACGACACTACCATTTACTCTTGTCATGATAAGAAGCCTACACACTCTGATTGCTTGGAGGGGGTATCTGAGCTTGAAAAGGATCTCACTTCTGCTACAGCATGGGGCTCACAGTGGCTGGTGAACTTTAATTCAGATAAAACTCAATTTTATTCGGCCAATCGTTATCGTAATAATTTAGATCTTCCTATATTTATGAATGGTAATGTACTAGATGAGTCATCTACCATTCATCTTCTAGGATTAACTCTTACTTCTGATCTTTCTTTTAAACCGTATATCAAATCCATTGCAAAATTAGCATCTGCTAAGGTTGCATCTCTTTATCGAGCTCGACACTTTCTTACTCCAGATTCTATTCTCTATCTCTATAAATCTCAAATCCGTCCCTGTATGGAATACTGTTGCCACATCTGGGGCGGATCTTCTAATGATGCTCTTTCTCTTTTAGACAAGGTGCAAAAACGAATTGTAAACATAGTTGGACCTGCTCTGGCAGCCAATCTCCAACTTTTGTCACATCGTCGTAATGTTGCTTCTCTTTCTCTTTTCTACAAATACTTTAATGGGCACTGCTCTAAAGAGCTAGCGTCCCTTGTGCCATCTACTAAAATTCATTCTCGTGTTACTCGCCATTCAATTAAGTCTCATCCTTTTTCTGTGACTGTTCCTAAGTGCTTAAAAAACTCTTATTCTTCTAGTTTTTTTCCTCGAACATCAGTTCTTTGGAATTCGCTTCCTTCATCTTGCTTTCCTGATTCATATAATTTGCAATCTTTTAAGTCATCAGTCAATCGTTATCTTGCTCTACAGATTTAGTCTTTTCTCTTCCAGTAACTTCCAACTCTTATAGTGGTTGCTTGCAGCCTTGTTGGAAGTGAAGATGTTTAAAAAAAAAAAAAAAAAATGTTAGCACTTGCTCCAATGCATCAGAGTATTAGTTTTAATTATAAATTATTATATTTTAGATTGGTCATCTAACCCAAAAGATCTTGAAATAACTATGGCCTCCTACCCAAAACTACAAAAAAACACATTGCTAGAGTCATCCCTGTAGCAAATATTAAAGCACATTCAATCTTAAAATGTTTTAAAACTCCGTAATCTTAGTACATGCATTTACCACTTATATGCTCTCCAGTTTGGTCGCCACACTAAACTATGCTAATAAAATCTATTTAAAATATAAAAAAATGATTCACCAGAAAAATCTTCGATGTTTAAGCTATTATAGGTACTTGACTATGTTTCAAAATTTTGCATAATTTTATAGATAAAAGTTTGTTTTTTGAGCTTAACAATAATAAATACACCCGCGGTCATAGTTATAAGATTTGCAAGCAACGATGTCAACTTGATATTCGCAAGTATTGTTTTTCTCCAAAAGTTATTAATACCTGAAACAATCTGACATCAGAAGCTGTAAATGCAGTAAACATACGTATGTTTAAAAAAAAATCCTATAATTTCAAAAAACACTGCTTCTATAAAGTACATACATGAACAAAATTTTTAATGTTTATGTTATAAACTATATTTGTTTATTATGTAAATTGTTTTTATGCTTATTTAGGGGCATACAGCCGGTGTCCATTTATTGGACCTGTGTGTCCTTTAACACATGTAATTTTAATCTCGTTCTAATAAACTTTATCTATATATACAGTGTATTATATCCTAGCTGTCCAAACTCTTTTATTCACATCAATCATTTCTATACTTATTCTTTATTTAATTTAATATTTTTTAGCATTTAAAAAATAATTCATTCAAAAAATTGCTTTAAAAGCATAAAATATTAACATGCGCACTTTTCTGCATACATAAAGATTAAAAGAGATTTTTGAAATAATTTTTTTTTTGCTTAAACTTAACTCTTTGATAGCTCAGTGGTTTAATGCGCTCTCATTAGTGTCGTTTCGGAGGGTTTAAATCCATTGCTGTCATTGTTTTTTTCAATCTTGCCTTAAATATTTATAGGAAAAAAATATATTGCAAAAAATTTTTAGCTATTGAAATAAAATTTTAAAGTTAGCTAATATTTTACATATATATTTAGATAACCCACTTGAAAAGTGTTGATTAATTGCAATCAGGATAAGAGAATAATAAAATGGTTTGTTTTCAACTTATATGTTGTCTTTGATAGCTCAGTGGTTTAGTGTACTGTTATCATTGTTTCCGAGAGTTCAAATCCACCCCTTTACATAAAACATTTATTAATTTTTTGTATCATGTAACAAAATTACCTTGATTCCAGTTGTAATAGCACTAACCGCTTCATCAGGGTGTGTCAAACATGCAAATTTTCTGATAAATCTGTGGTTATGTTGAGAATATACTGTTCCCAAATCAATCTAAAATAAATTGTTTTATTATTTTAAATATAAATTTTTATTTTTACTGTTTTACTTTTTTAATTAAACTAAATTCTCTAAATTCATAATGAAAAATTAAAAATTTGTATTTTTATGATTGAGATAGTATTAAATATTTATGGCAAAAAAGTTGAAAGTAATATACATTAGTGCAATAGTTTGAAAAAATGTTTTATGGACATTTTCAACAACTCAGACAAGTCTTTCCCTTGCAACATAATCAATACTGCTGTCAAAATGTTGCTTGTGATAAAAATTGTGATTGGATTTAATTTAGTTTCAATATTTTTGCAGTTAAATAACTATAGTAGTTTTAAAAGAATTATTCAGAATATAATAATACCAGCAATTCAAAATAACAATAATACTGGCACTACAACCAGGAACACTGTTCAAAATCTGCAACATACTATTCAACAAAAATGCTTATAGAACTTTACCTAAACAAGTTTTAGCTTCACAATTTGGTTTGTGGTCGTTATATTATATTCTGAGTTGATTGTAGTTTTGCAGTTAAATAACTATAGTAGTTTTAAAAGAATTATTCAGAATATAATAATACCAGCAATTCAAAATAACAATAATACTGGCACTACAACCAGGAACACTGTTCAAAATCTGCAACATACAATTCAACAAAAATGCTTATAGAACTTTATCTAAACAAATTTAAGCTTCACGATTTGGTTTGTGGTCGTTATATTATATTCTGAGTTGATTGTATATATGATTGCAGAATTAATTTTTTTGTAGGTATGTTTTTCACTACAAAAACCACATCACATGCACCCCAAAAACCACATTAGTTTTTCCTTAATATTCAATAACTTATCTTAAAATTGCATAAAACTATTATTTATTCTTGTTATACATGTATATATCTATACCACAGGTGGCAGGTTTATTAGATTTACTTGTATATGTATTGAATAAATGTCAAAGCAACTTGTATATACACTTTTATTTGTTATACAGGAATAAATATTTAAAATATTTTTAAAATGAAAACAAAGTTTACCTTGCGTTTTGGAACAAGGTCTTTAAACCCAAACAGTAAATCAGAAGCAGTTGTTGCAAGAAAACACACAAATCAAAAAAATAAACAGTTGGCAGAAGCTGTAGCATGTTGCAAAGATAACAATGTAAGAGAACACTGTGCCCTAAAATCAGGACTTTTCCCATTGATTAAAGATCGAGAGACAATAAATCGACGTCTGGATGGTAAAATACAAACAGGAAAGGAACATCAATACTGCTTTATATTATTAGAAGAGGAAGAGAATTCAATTTTACGCTTTGTTAAAAATAAAAAGAGATCTTTGCAAGGTGTCAATAAGGCACAACTAACTAAATTAATGTTAGATACATTGAAAATAAGAGATTACACAAACAAGAAATTAATAGGAGGACAAAAATATCATCCATTGTCACCTGCTGCTAAATTGGCATTAAAGAATCAACTGTATTTCTACAATTTCCTTTTATTTTTAGTACTTTTAGCACTTGTTAAACTGTATTTAAACAAACTAAAACAAGCTAAACTGTATTTAAAAAAACTATAAAAAAAACTGATGAAATGTTTACTGAGGCAAATTCACTAAACAAGGAAGCATTCATGCTTATTTTAGCCAATATATGGGATAAATGGGCAACAAAACCCACTCTCATAAAAGCCACAAAGCGAGTTGGTATTACCAATGAAGGTTTGAGCATTGAATTCATGCAGCAGGACAAGTTTGATAGAGCAGATAATTGCATGGAGGCTCCTGAAGAGGCATCAGTTTCATCCACTAAATCTACATTGTCTAGCCCTGATTCATATTTTGTTGTCTCCCCTGATAGACGAAGAGGATCAGCACTTTATTTGAGAAAAGTTTGAAAGTACTCAATCTTTGATTAACGAGCTTCATGAGAAGAGCATCCAACTTGTCGAGATACCAGGATTTATGACTATTAGAAAAATAAGGCCAAGTTTATCCACCAGTTCAACACGAATAACTCAAGTTCATGGGTCCATGAAAGCTAAAGACTTTTTAAGTTTAGTTGCAGATATAAATGAAAAGAAAGAACAAAAAGTTTGATCACAATTGGAAAATGCAGAAAAAAAAGAAGTAAAGAAAATTTTTATTAAATGTAAAGTGAAATGTGTGTGTACTGAAAACATTTGTAAAGTAACAAAGTTTAGGGAATGTCCAAAATGCCATGATATTTTAAAATCCCAATGCAGTAAGTTAGCGTGTTGTGTTGAAGGCAAAAAACCTACAATAATTTTTCCTGCTTCAGCTTTGCAAAAAAACTGCAACAAATCCAAGGAAAAGCTTATTTAATACAAATAATAATACATCAGAGAGCGGTGAAGAATTTATGTAGATAGAATTTATGTTAAACTAAACATTCTTTTAAAATGTAATGTATAATTTCAAGTTATAGTAAACATTTTAGCTGTGGTTTTTGACTTTTAAATTTATTTTCCATATGCACCCCAAAAGCCACATCACTATTAGGTTGAACTTGGCTCAATAATATCAAAAATAATATTTCAAAAAAATGTATCCATATGATTATTATTAAAAATGATACTTAAGAGCATATGAAAAAGTCAACTTTGCTAACTTAGTCTGAAGTTCTCATGGTTTATGGTGTTTTAACTAAAAAATTGGATTTAAAAAAACAGAAAAAGTTTTTGAAAAAGTGCAAAAAAACTACTTTAAGATATAAAAATAGCAAATCTGATTTATTTTTCCATTACCTTAAACATTTACACAAAGAAAATTCTAAATCTTACACTTTTTATATTTAAATCGGCCTAGCTGTATTCCAGTAAGTGGCTTTGTTGTTTTTGAGGTGCGTAAGTTTTTACGGTGCAGAAAACCTGTAAATCACTAATTTAATTCATGTTTTCCATTCACTAATTAATGAATAGGTTTAAAAACTACAAACCCTAATTTGAAAATTCAAATGAGATGTTACACTGTAACTATTTGTTGAAATATTTAAAGTACAAAAAATAAAATTTGTTTATATTTGCTGCACAGCTGAAAGAAATATATAGATGAGATAATAGTTATACCTGTTATTACAAATAAATTCCTGGTTGTTTAGGGATTGTTAATACCAGGGCTGTGGAGTCGGAGTTGTAGTTGCGGAGTTGAGACATTTTTAGCGGAGTTGAAGTCGCTAAACAAAATTGCGACTCCGACTCCAATAGTAAAACTTCTCCGTATTGCACATGCATGTAATAATCATTCAATTAACCTTATGTTCATACTAAACCTCAAAGAACGTTTCATAAATTTGTCAAAAAAGAAATTTTTAACTTATCGCGTAATATTTTTTTAAGAATTCAAAGAATTTTTCAAAAATTTTGGTTTGGAGTTGGAGCTGGAGTCAGAGTTGTGCTCAAAAATTTCAACAACTAGAGTCAGAGTCGTTACTTTTTTTTCATAACTCCACACCTCTGGTTAACACAAGTAAATAGATGATACAATTTCTGGGTGTTTACAGGGTGCGAAAAATGACAATTGTGCGAACGTCTGAACAAAAAAAGACAGAAAAACAAACGTCACGTTCCTTTACTTTTCCTAAAGCATACGTTGACGTTCGCCTAAAATTTTTCAAAAAGAACGCGTTACTATAGCAATTTTTTTTTTCCAAACAATTAACTATTGATCGTTTTTTATTTATTATAAAAAACACAAAAAACTATTAATTACGAAAATTTTTAACCCATTTTCAAAGACTTTAAAAGAAACCACGCTAAAGCTATTTTCTTCAATGGGATGAAGAAAGTAATTAGTTTGAGCATGGTTTTTGCATGCATTTAATAAAAGCATTCAAAATTTTATTTAAAATGACTCAATTTGCAATTATGTTTAAAAAACCATGCTTAAACAACGATTGCTTTTTTTAATAGCAATGATTATATATAATATAATAGAAAATAATTTAATAATAATTTTTAAATATTTTTTAATATAATAATAAAAATAATTTTTAATAAAATAATTTTGTTTTTTTTCTTATTTTCCTTAAAGTGAAGTAATGTTAGTTAGCATTTTAAAACTTATAAAAGTTTTAAAAATAATGTTCAAGTTTTGCTAAAAAATACATAATCTAATAGAATATATAAAGTTATTATGTTTGTTAAAATTTTAATTTTTTTATTGTGCGTTTAACAACACCAATAATATGATATTTTTATTAACTTATTATTAAATACTTAATATACTATTATTTTTAAATTTTTTTTAAAATGTCAAAACAACTAAGCATCTTTTCGATGTTAAAGAGAGATGGTATTAAAGAGAGATGGATTAAAGAGAGATGGTATTAAAGAGAGATGGATTAAACGTAAAGGAGAAGAAGAGAGAGAAACTAAACATGCGAAAAAAAAGTGCAATGACTTGGATTGTGCTATGACTTTAGGAAAATTGAATATATGGCAAAAAGATATTGAATTTATGTTTTGGAACACCGTTAATGGATTGTCGCCAAGAATAAAAAACACGGGCAACAACTAAGCTGGATTCATATTGACAAATCAAATGAGTGTTTCACTTGCTGGGTTTGCCAAAAGTATCCACATATTAGCAATGTTGATAAAATGGGGATTTAATGAAATAAAAAGTGTTTGCAACTTTTATGGGAACAATATTATGATAAGCAGATAAACTTCTTATTTATGTGTATTGCAGTAGCCTTTATTCAGGGAAAAAGTCTCTAAACTAAAGATAAATTCACTTTTAAGCATTTATAAAGATATCTTGCTGGAAAATGAACCTGAATTGGCAAGTATAAATGTCTTGTTAGAGATTATGCTAACTTTCAGCGCTTCAACGGCAGGTTGTGAACGCAGTTTTTTTTGTATGAACTTACAAAAAAATATTTTGCAAACTTCATTAAATTACGATACCTTAGAAGATATTATGAGTATAAAGCTTGATGGCCAGTTAACTGAAGACTTTTTGCCCCAAAAACATGTCAAAAATCGGATTGACGCAGCGGTTGGTATTAGACATTTGGAAGGCCATAAATTAAAAAGTTCTAGCGATTTTTAAATCCATTTATATAAATATAAAAATTAATATATATTTATAAATGAGACGTCATTTTTCGATTTATTTTTTTAGTTCCTTTTATTTTAATTTCTTTATGTTTATACGTATATTTTATAAGTAAATAAATTTAACAAACTAAATTAAAAAAAAAGTTTTGCATCGTTGAATAACAGTATACAATCATTGCATATTAAAAAATAATAATTTATGCACACTTTGCAAATGCATGAAAAATTGTTTTGAAAATATGACAATTGATTAAATTCAATAACCATCTTTCATATATCCAAAAGCTTATTAACTAGAATAAAAATTTATTTGAATATAAAGCTTATATTCTTATATATTATTTGACACGTATCACTTAAATTAGACGTTCGTCAATAATTTAAGATACAAACGTCAACCCCCGTGAAAAAAAAAACGATTTGTTGCGCCCTGGTTTAGGAGCTGCTATTATGAAAAATGCTTTCACTTGACCAATTTTCTATGTATCTTAAATTTCAGAGTTATATATTTCAAAAGAAATGGAAATTTTCTGTTATTGTTATCAATATCGCAATGAAACAGGCAATATTGATAAAATTAAGAGACAATCCCATAACTGGACATCATTAATTGATGTATGCCCTAAGTGCAGTGTTTAATAATATACAAAATATAACTTAAAATAAAACCCTTGGAATTAGCAAAAATCAGGTCGGCATTATTTTGCCAACTTTAATCTATTAAAGGTTGGCATCAGTTCAGCAAAATAATTTGACATTAGGGTTTTACCATAATACATAGAAAGTTCTGCAATTTTTCGCTGAACTCAAACACTAACATGCTGTATTATCTATTGTATACACAGATAATAGATTTAAATATATTACAAGATAAAATATATATTTTCTATTTAAACATAAATTATACAAAAAAGAACAAATTGCATTAAAAAGTGTTAATGTTTTTAACATATACCTTAAATGAACCTAAAACTGTTTGTGTCAAAGAAAAACTGCCATTATTCGAATAAACCTAAAGCATAAAAAAATTTATTCAAAACTAATAAAGTTATTATTAATTTATATATATATATATATATATATATATATATATATATATATATATAATATATATATATATATATATATATATATATATATATATATATATATATATATATATATATATATATGTATATGTATACATATATACATATATATACATATATATATATATATTATATATATATATATATATATATATATATATATATATGTATATGTATACATATATACATATATATACATATATATATATATATATATATATATATATATATATATATATATAATATATATATATATATATAATATATAATATATATAATATATATATATATGTATATGTATACATATATACATATATATACATATATATATATATATATATATATATATATATATATATATATATATATATATATATATATATATATATATATATATATATATATATATAATATGTATATGTATACATATATACATATATATACATATATATATATATATATATATATATATATATATATATATATATATATATATATATATATATATATATGTATATGTATATATATTTACATATATTTACATATATATACATATATATATATATATATATATATATATTTAGATATATATTTATATTCATATATATGTATATGTGTATATATATATATATATATATATATATATATATATATATATATATATATATATTTATATATATATATATATATATATATATATATATATATATTTATATGCATTTATATATATTAAACAATTAACATTTTTATAAGACAGGTAACACAGTTTATATAAAATTTGTTCACAAACATGAACAAATTTTATATAAACTTATACCACAAGCCAAGATTAATAAAACCACACAGTAAATTAAATTTTAGTAAGAAATGAACCAAATTGGGTCTTTTATTTATCTAGAATTTAATTTTTAAATAAATCTGATATTAAATAAGCATGATATAAGAGATAACTTGTTTGGAATATTAAATTACTTGGTATTACTTAATCTTATTTACAAAAAAATTTATAACCTTATCCGACTGTGTTTGAACTTGCTAAATTTCAAACTCATCTCATATCTGGAACTCAAACAAACCAACTTGAAATTATGACATTTAGTCTTCACCTTCAGTTTTAAGGTAAAGGCCACAGTATTTGTGATTTTTAAAACTTGCTCTGTGAATGTAAATTAATTATTAGCAAATAAATTAAATAAAATTTATCTACAAAAAACATATCTCCATCATGATGCAACATTCATACCTGGCAACATTTAACCTGGCCTATTATTTCAAAGAAAAAGCTATACAAAAATAATCATAACTTTTTTAATCAGGAGATAAGAATAAATATTTGAAAAAGTCTAGTTAAATCAATTAAATTTTTAAAAGTTGATTTCAGTATTATGAAAAAATTAAAGGCTTTCCTTGTATTTTTTCAAGCCTATCAGATAAATAGTTTATTTTCATATTATTTTAACAATATTAATGCATTTTAAAAATAAAAGGATGAAAAAGTTGATTTATTCTTAAGTAAACTAACTTTTTTTCTTTTTTTGAAACACTATAACTCAAAAACACAAATTTTAACAAAAAGCTAAGTTTGTTTATCAGTATTTGTTTTGTTTTACTATCATAAAATTTATCAATGGTTATGCAACTTGTTGATAAATAAAATAAATTTCTGTCATTTAAATCCAAATAAATAAATTTTATTATGCTCTAAATGTGTGAACCACAGATGCTGCAAATACATTAGCAACTAAATTTCTAACTGTTAACAAGATTTTAATGAATTTAGCACTCCTTTAATGCATCTATTTTATAAGAATTGACTATTTAGTTGTTATTATTTTTGTTGTTTTTTTGTATAAAACTTAATATAGATCATTTAACATTTTTTCTACTTTATAAAGCTTTACCATCTATTCTTTTTCAAATAACTAATTATTTTAAAAAACTCAAACAAAAACGTTGCAAAAAAAAAACACATTGTGAATGCACATGTTTTTTAAATCATTAATCATTTGTTAACAACACACTAAATGCTTTTAGATGAATCTTTTATAAATGTGTAGAGAAAATAATTTTACCACATATAAAAATGGTAGAGCATTACAGAGAAGTCTAAAAATATATGGAAAATTCCTATAAAAATATAAAAAACAATAAACTTTTACTTTTTTATTTAATTTTTTAAAATTCTATGATTTCTTGCCCTATATTACTATACAGCATAGGATATATTATATAGATATTAAATATTATTCTATTTATCATTTATATTATGAAAACTCTTGTAGTGGTGCATTAAGTTCAAAATAAATTAAAACCATCTCTATTGTAAGTATTAAAAAACATGTTTTTTAAACTAAATTAAAGCACTACTCATTAGACCAAAATAAATAGAAAAAATAGTTTCACAATTTATTGATAAAATGATGA